GGGTAGTTTTTGACGGCTCCGCCCCCTCGTCAAATGGTGTGTCCCTGAACCAGTGTCTCCACTCTGGTCCTAAATTGATCAAGGACATATCCGACATTTTGACCCACTTCCATCGGCACCAAGTGGTTTTTGTAGCCGACATTCAGATGATGTTTCGACAATCAGTGGTCCATCGTGATGACCGTCGATATCAGCTGATATTGTGGCGCGAGAAGCCCAGCGATCCTATACAGGTGTTTGTGTTAAACACCACCACCTATGGACTCCGGTCCAGCCCGTATATCGCCATGCGAACCCTCCTTGAATTAGCTGAGAGAGAGCGTTTAAAATACGCTCGGGGGGCTTCTATTTTGGAGACTTCGGTCTACATGGACGACATTTGCACGGGCGCCTCCACCGTCGAGGAGGCTCTTGTATTGCGAGACGAATTGATTGCCATCCTGAAGTCCGGAGGTTATGAGTTGCGCAAATGGTTGTCGAACTCCCCTCATACTTTGAAGGACCTCCCAGGAGAGGATCAACAAGACCCTCATCTATTCGAGCACCCTGAAAATCCTAATTTGTTGACTGTGCTGGGCATTCAATATCAGCCTGTTCAGGATATTTTCACCTATCGAGTCAAACTTGACCCCCCTCCTAAAGCATGGACCAAACGCTCCGTGCTGTCTACGCCGCACCTTCGATCCTAATGGATGGATCACTCCGGTCATTTTTTTGGCTAAGTGCTTTCTTCAAAAGCTTTGGATATCGGAGTTGGGTTGGGACGAGCCTATTAGCGGCGCTCTCTTGCGAGAGTGGCACTCCATTATGTCCTCCCTTCCGGACATCAACCGGGTCTTCATGCCAAGGTGCTTCCTCCCTCCAGGGAAATGCAGGGCTACCCTACATGGGTTTTGCGACGCCTCTGAGAAAGGTTACGCTGCTGTCGTATATTTGCGGACTGTGTGCCCTTCTGGCCATACTTCCGTCCATCTCGTACTTGCTAAAAGCAGGGTTGCTCCATTAGGTCCCGCTTAACTATCCCTAAATTGGAACTGTCCGGAGCCGCTCTTCTCACGCGACTCCTCAACCACGTTCACTCGTCTTTGAAGTCTGTAATCGACATTACGGATGTCTACGCTTGGTCGGACAGTGAGATGCACCTCACAATCTTGAGGTCTTTGTGGCGAACCGCGTGTCTCAAATCCGGAATTCTGGGACGTCTCTAAACTGGAGACATGTCCCAGGGGAGTTGAATCCCGCAGACTGCGCTTTTCGCGGCTGTGAAGCCCCCTCGTTGGTTGACCACCCGCTGTGGTGGGGTCTCAGTTGGTTGACTGAATCTCAGTCATTCTGGCCCCAGAATAAGTACTCCAGACCGATTGAATTACATGGCCTACGAGCCCGAGTAGGAGTGGGCAAGGATAAGCCCACTCGGGATCTCTCCCTGCTAGAACGGTACAGCTCTCTCGATAACCTCTTAGGAGTGACTGCTTGGTTGCGTCGATTTGTCCAAAATTCGAGAGACCCGTCCAACCGAATCGCTGATTCCGTTTTGTCCCCTAGCGAGCGTCGCGAAGCTTTGATGCATTGGACCCGTATGGTCCAAACGGAGCATTTTGAGCCCGTGATTGAAAACTTGAAGCTGGGCTCCGTTGTCAAGGGCGCTCTTGCCCGTCTGAACCTCTTCCTGGACGACGCTGGGATGCTGCGCGTTGGCAGACGTTTGAAAAATTCTCAACTGCCGTACGGGGCTCGACACCCGTTACTGCTCCCTAAGGACGGCGTCTTTGTTCGGTTGCTGGTAACTCACCATCGTGTTAAGAATGCCCACGCTGGGTGTAACGCTCTTTCGGCTATTCTGTGGAAATTCGACCCTCCGGCCTTCGAAACTCCGGCCCACACTGGGGCGGTATTTTTGAGGCGGTGGTTAAGGTTGCAAAAACGCATCTCCGTCGCGTTATTACCGAAACTATTTTGACATTTGAGGAGCTTGCCACTGTATTCTGTAAAATTGAGGCGGTACTCAACTCTCGGCCCCTCTGTCCCCTCTTGTCCGATCCGAATGATTTGGAGGTTCTAACCCCGGGCCACTTCCTGATTGGCCAGCCGCTTAACGCCCTGCCCGAGTACCCCTTCAGAGAAATAAATTCTTCGCGGTTGAGCAGATTTGACCAGCTGCAACAGATGACTCAGAGTTTTTGGCACCGATGGTCTCTGGAGTACCTACATCTTTTGCAGCAGCGCATTAAGTGGTCTGACAAGACGGATCCTCCCCGGGTTGGAGACCTCGTGTTGGTTAAAGATGGTGTGCCTAGGGTGGCCGAAGTTTTGGTCGGAGATTCAGTCTTACAATGTGCCGTCATGACCCTGTCCCGTTTGCCAATCTACTCGCGGACATAAGTCGTTATGTCCGGGGCGGGGGTTTATCTAGGCCAAAAATTAAACTTTTGAAAATTGAATTCATAACTCGCGACTCGGCGCGTGCATAGCACGGTACGAAGGTAACTGCCAGCCCCTCTCCGGCCGCACTCCAATCGTGGTCACGTCGATCGAGACGCGTCGAATTTACTATTGGAGTTTTTTGCTTCTAATGTTTGGTTATACGAATTACGGCTTCGTTATAGCCGCGCACTAAAGTGCGCGGCTATAACGAAGCCGTAATATTTTGATTGATTAACTTAAATTCGTTGGCAAGTAATTTACGTAAATTGTATAGTGATCGCCGGTTGAGGTGCTTTGACAATATTAATTTGCGTCGACGAGTTGCTTTGTGGCATTTAATGTAACTCAGGGATATTTTTCTGTGTTGGTTAAAACGCTAAACTTTGTGACCCACGAGAAACAGCGTTCGTATTAGATTATAGATTTATGCTAAGGGACGCTAGACTTTGAGTGACATCGAGGTGACGCCGCTGGAGGATACCACACCGTGTGGCGGTGCCGGAGTCAGGGCTGCTGCCGATTAAGTCAGGTTTCACATTTTACACACCACTAAACACCACTTACATACACTACACCTACTGCCTGACCGAGCCTTGTGGCCAGTCTTCGCTTCTGAACCAAGTAAGTCGAATTAATTACCTATTTCTTATATATTGATTATCCATAGGCATTTCGAGCCCCACCCTTAGCTGTCCGTCGAATCTACCGCTGATGGGCCCCGGGATATTTGAACTTTGTCGGGGCAACTAGGGGCGTGTACAACACATTCAGTCTCCACGAAAATGGTATTTTTATATATTATCGTTAGGTTTTAATTGCTGCTAAATAATATTCTGTATTTTATGTACACTTAGTTAAAGAAATAAAATGTTTTGTATTTGTAATTACTGTTTTAATTATATTGTGCGATAGCCGTCGATTATAAGGATAATTATACAATACTTTGCAAAAAAAAAAAAAACAAATAATCAATTAAAAGTTTTATTTTGGTTCTGAAAAATTACAATATTTAATCGCTGTCACTTAAAGGCATTATTCCAGGTATATCGAATGACGTACTTGGCCCCAGGACCAAGTTCGTCACTCAATATACCCCAGAATCGGCAGGATCAGATGATCCTAGGATCGGCTCTTCATAACTTGGTCCCAGGACTGACTCATCATCCTGCTCAGCGTCATTGGAATCACTTGCATCACTGTCCGAATCTTGCCCCACTCGAATAAATAATGCCATCAAAAACATAACTTGTAAAAAAAACCAAGTCTCGCAACTCAGTTCTTCTACCGTAAAAAGTTGTAAAAAGATCCATGTAATACCAAGTTGGCTAATTTATTCAGTCCCTACTTAAGGGTCCATCTGTCTTAAGTTATTACGTAATTAGCTAACCTAACAACATCTTATAGTGACCATATCAATATTAAAAATCTTTTATGTTTTAAATAAATAAATTGGACTTGGCAATCGCACTAAACAATCTAATTTAATATAATATGTATTACTTGAGAAATACATTATGTTTTCATGTCGTGATATTGTTTTTGTACTCAAAATCCCTCTATTACCAAATAACTTTCGGTTTTAAGCGTGTTCAGTTCCCAGTCAGCGCGTGTTATGCGATGACCTTAAATAAAGCCCAAGGTCAAACTTTACACCTCAGTACTGTTTTGCACATGTCTAACTCTATGTTGCTTTTTCCCGCGTTAGTAGCCCCCGTAACCTTTTTTCTAAGGCTAAGTCTACTTCTAACGTTGTTTACACAGAAACTCTGTCATAAACGACTCAGAACTTTGAGGATAACGATTTATTTTGTTATCTCTTATTGATACAGTAATGATATAAATCGTTTAATATTCTTTTACCTAAACGTCAAATTCTTTGAGTAAAACCTATATACTCCTCGGGCACAGCTAGTTCTATAATAAAATTCACACATGGCATAACAACAACAACATGAATGACTAATTATATTTAAGGTTTACCATAACACTATTGCTACTTATAGTTGTTTTGGATCTGTTTTTTATTATGTTACAGTTTTTCAATGACTCAAATTTTTTATCACTTTGCGTAGGTACTTATGGACGAATATTAACGAAATCATTTTAACCCTTAATTAGGCGCATGAAGAAAATCGCACAACTAGTCGCATGGGGTCTCTAGTAACCCCAAATAAATAGTTGAAAATAGAGTATTAGCAATAAATAAAACAAAGTATGTATTATCAAAAATATTAAAATTCTTCATTATAATTAATTTTAAGTATCTAACTAAAACATAACTTTGAGTTTAAACAATTAAAAAAATAACAAAAACTTCTAATCTCTCATTAAACTACAAATTTTTTGCGTAGCCGAGATCAACGCTAAAAAAATAATCCGATCCATCAGCAGATTCTCATATTCTGCATCCGATGCAGTATACCCTAAAGAGTTGTTGACAAATAAATTTACCACACTTATTGCATTTGCCAAATTTTGTTGCAGTAGGGTCTGCACGCTGTCGAATGCTACATTCCTGGTGATCTACAAGTACTATCGCTATTTTTTTTTAAATCACCTTATGTGTGTTACTCTTATCAGTATTCAGCATTACTGATAGCATTAGCAGAACCCGCAACATTTTGCTCATCGTTGGACACATCCGTCAGCTGTTGCAGTATCTCCCTTTCACTAGTCATCTCAGAACTGCAAACTGAAAAAAAGAAAATCAATAAAAATAAAAACAAAAATAGGTAAAATGGATATGCACTATAACAATACATATATATTAATAAAAATAAATAATAATATACGCATAGAAACTAAGTAAAAATACAAAAATTAAAACTTACCTCCGCCATAAAATGTTACGTTGGTCGCATGGGGTCAGCACCCAAGAGAGTAGAGACTTGTGCGTACGCGTTGATGTTCTGGCCGCGCCTAATTTGCGCACCACGCGGGGAGTTGAGAAGCTAGAAGAGCACGATTGCGCTTCAAACATTCTAACGTGTTTTTTTTATTTGAAATTGTCTTGACCCCATGCGCCTACTTAAGGGTTAAAATTATTGATGGTAGCACAGATATCTGTCTTAAGGTGTTAACAATTGTTTTATCATCCATATTTACAACTACCTACCTTGTTCCCAAGAATTATGCATTGGAAATTTTAATAGTTAAAAGTTAATTCAATAAATACTATCGTTATGGACGATATTGACGGTTCGGGCCATATTGCGTGTAACAGAGTGGGTGTTCTAACTGACTGGTCCCCACACATGGTCAGTTCAACTGATGATTCCAACTTATCAGTTCAAACTAGGACTGTTGATATTTTTAAAATATCGGATTTTCAATATATCGATAATTATAAATATATCAATATCGGAGTTTTATATATCGAAAACATAAGCGATATATCGATGCTTAAAAATGATTTACACAGTTTATAATTTAGTATATTTACTAAACAAATTAAATTATAAATGTATGAAAATGTTAGTTAATTATTAATGAGCCGTGGTAGCTCAGATGGTTAGCGCTCGCTGTAAATTTCACAGCACGTGAGCAATCCGGGTTCGATATCCGCCAGCACCAATGATATAGTTAATTGCAATTTTAGCGTGCTGGGCGATGAAGGAAAACATCGTGAGGAAGCCTGCATGTCTGACGTTACCTTGCCCTAAAATCCTCTCAGAAATGAGGAGAGGCCTGTGCCCAGCATTGGGACGTATATAACAAAAGTAACTCAAAAAGAACATCGCCGTAAGGCCGGCCACATACATACGGAATTCCGTTTTGAGATTCCGTTTCGGAATTCCGAACGGGTCGGCAACACACATACGGAATCCCGTTTTGCCTATAAAATTTCGAACGGAAAACTACCGTACGTGTGTGACGGGTCATATATTTTATATGAATTTGCTGCATTCGGTATCTCGAATCGGAATATCGAAACGGAATCCCGAAACGGAATTCCGTATGTATGTGGCGGGCCTAATCATCTTGTAGCTCGATCAGTGCCATGCAACACGTCTTTTGCAAGGAAATTCTTCACGTTTTTGGGACCGTATTTGTATAATAAATTACACCAAAAATTGTCTATTTATGAAGTCACAAATGGTCATGTAAAAATAGAATCGTGGGATATCTTCAGACTCTATCATACACACACACTGAACAATTACTCCAAATAATATCATAAATACAGTCCAGTAAAAAGGGCCTCCGGCCACCTGCACTCACCAAGCGAAACGCAGAGATAAACCTCTACTTCACGCTGGTTTTCTGTGAGGTCGTGGTACTACCCCGGTTCGAGCCGGTCCATCCGTGCGACAGCAAAAGCTGCCGCGTGGCTCTACCACTGTTATTATTAGTTTTTATTGTATTTATTTCTATATAGCCAAACTGTTAATTCGCTCTATATAATATAATTTCTAATCATAACATAAGTTATCTCTGTATATTATACTAAGTGCCTAGTAAATTCAGGGGGTGGGGGGCTGGTGACCTGTAATACGGGTCTTTGAACCTACACGGGAACCAGTCTCCCACGAATGACATAATATTGTTAAATAGAGATGTAACACTAATGTATCCAATGTCCATGTCGTTTGTGGTGAGAAATAAATAAATTATTATTATTATTATTATTATCTAGGTCTCCATTTACCTATTTGAAAATGAGTCCAAGCACAATGTTTCTACGTAGTAGCATCACTGAGATCCTTTACCCACCTTCTCTCAATCTGAATGTGTCATCGCCTCCGTAGATCAGGAAGTCGTAAACTATTCCAGAGACACTCGCGCGAACAAATATTTTATAACCCCATTTTTTCGGTTTATTTGTTATATATTGTTTATATATGGTTCCACATAAAGGAACATGAGCGGGCAGCCGTGCTCTTGTTCCTTTATGTGGAACCAACATATCGTCTATGCTGAAATGTGTCTCTTCTTCTACTTGTAAACAATTCTCACGTATTATTTGAAGGATTGGCCTCACTTTATAATACCTATTTCACCATCGTCTTTCAAATTGTTATTAAAATGCAAATAACGCCTCAGTTATTGGAACTTCTTGAGGGTCATTATATCAGCCACTGCGAAATATCATTGAAATCAGTTCAATAGTTTAGGAGTCCATCGCGGACAAACAACGTGACACGTAATTTTTATATATAAAGACTAGCTGTTCCTCGCGACTTCGCCCGCGTGGAATTTACTACGATTTCATGGGTTTTAATTTTATTGCGCGGAACCCTAATATTTTTTCTAAAATAAAAGTATCCTAAGTTACTCCTTATAACATTAGCTATCTGCCCATGAAAGTCCCGTCAAAATCGGTCCAGCCGTTTCGGAGATTAGCCGGAACAAACAGACAGACAGACAGTCAAAAATTTTAAAAATTGTTTTTTTTTGTTATTGGTATCGTATATACTTTCATATGCGTTTAGTAAAAAGCTGTTACTTTAACATTACAAACAAACACTTCAATTTTATTTATTTGTATAGATAATGATTATTCTTACCTTGCGATGCGTAGACGCATTAGATCGGGCCGCCATCTTCCGTTCTATTTTTTTTTGGAGTTTATGGCCTGGTATCTAGACCTTTAAGCCAAGTCTTGAGTATTTTTATTCGGTTTATTATAATTTCCCAAATGTATAATTATCTTTCATAGTTCACTGCTTCACAATATGTTGATGCGTCACATTGTGCAGCCCTTGGGAGATTTTGACGGCAACTTGAGCCAGCAGACAGCTGACAGTTGGCGATGGTATCTAAAGGCGCCTATGCAGACAAACAGCTTATCTTGAGAATCCATCACCATCAGAGCACTTGTTTCACCGTTTCCACTAATAGTTCACATGCGTAGACAGTTAATACATAAAATCGCACCACTTTTACATGTCAAAATCCACTTCAAACTATTGTTTAAACAATAATACAGGAGCAGCAAACCGCCGCCGGTCAAGTTCCCGCCAAAACTCTTCTCTTCCGTTCTACAGTTCTTTTTGGTGTTGCAACACTTAAATAGTATTTTTGGTAAAAATATAAGTATATTTCCTAATATATTAATCTCAGGATTTTCTAAAGTTGAACGTATCAAATTGTACACAGTGCCAAGAAAAGGGTTAAAATTTGTACAAACAAAATTATTGTAAAGTGAAATATGTCTTAAAAAGGCCCGCTGGGTTTCTTGCTGGTTCTTCCCAGGACAGAGGTATTTTCCGAACCAGTGGTAAATAAAAAAATGACTTTAAGTAACTATTATGTAATAATCTATATTGAATAATAATTATTCTATTCTATTCTATATCGAGTCTCAAATTATCGGAGAGTCGACTGTAGATATATTTGAATGCCAAATTTTTACCTACCTGTCAGGACCGGGTTCCAGTCTTGTCGTGGAGAGGGGCTTAGTAGCCGTGACTTGGTCACCCACGGTGAGCTAAGACTTCTCTCTCACATCCATCATCATCTACATCCAGATCCACATCTCTGGCCCGTGGTGGAGGGCCGGCCCGAGATGACTTGGCGAGCCCACATCGGATGTATTGGTATACTACGGGGAGAGGGGTGTCTCCTCCCCCTACCGCCGAAGCCGAGGTGAAGTCGCAGAGGAAAAGGAGTGTTGGTATGATGAGGCGTCGATATTGTGAGGCGCCGCTCTCCCTACTAGTCCAGGCTAGTGTTTATGAGTGCTCGTTTTTCCTGGGCCCATGGCCTGCGGGCATCGCACATGGGGCCTCCGTTGCGCAGATGAGTTTGGATGCCACGCACCATGTGTCTTCGTGCGCCTTACTTGAGAAGGAGATAGGGGAGGAGTAGGATTCTCCCGAGGAAAAGCCACCATGGGGCGGTCAGCGCTGGAGGGGGCCGTGGATATGTGCGAAAGCGTTCCCGTGGCCTTGCCAATATGCGACGAAGGTGGACACCATGGCACTATGGGGTCGGTGAGAATCCGAGATAACCCGTAATTGCCCCACCGAGGGGAGTATGTGTAGGCATATCGCCACGTAAAATAACTAGTTGTTTGTTACCCGACGCGAATAGTGTGAAGTCGAGCATCAAATGTTAGTGATTATGGTACGGCCAACTACCAGCGATACGAAAGATCATTTACCTTAAAAACGAGTGTGGAGTTGACAATCTATTATCTATCTCTTTCCATTTTGTCTATTTGTCGTAATATCTCATTTTCCCGGCAAAAATTTGTCAGGGTCAAGATGGGTTCGCCAACATTCGGAACGCGCTCGTGGTGATACAAATTATTTGTTAATTTTTTTATTATTTTTGTTGTTTATATAATTATTGTTATTTTGTTTTGTTGATAATTGTTTTTTTATAAAGAGTGGTTAATGATGGAGCTGCAACCAAGTACGTCGAGAATAAATCAACAAATTTTACTTTTACGAAAAAGAAACGTCCAGAGGTATGGTACAGGAATAGGAAAAATATGAATTTACTTTAAAGTTATCTCAAAGTTATTTAAGACAGCAACTGTAATAATAAAACTTTTCTTAATTTATTAAAGATGCGTGTAAGTAAAGTATGTATATCATTTTAATTTAATTTTTAATTTTAGGTGACTAGTTTTACTGTGAATTAAAAAAAAATGGTTATTAATAACTACAAATATGTTAAAGAAACTTAGCCGAAGACTTCCCCCTTATCATTGTGAATTAAGCCCCATTTAGTTGATTTGGGCTGATGTAACACGTAGCTAGAAACAATACTACGTTTAAATTTGAAAAAGTTAAGGCCTTATTAGGTGACGGTATGGCGAAAGTCACGCCTGATCGGTGGAAGAAATGTGTGGAGCATGTTCAAAGAGAAGAAGATAAGTTTTTCCAACTTGATTTTATTGTAGATGACGTGACGGATAAATTTATTATACGTGTTACAGACTCTGATTCTGACTCTACACACTCAGAAGAATCGGCGTCTGACTGAATAAACAATGATTTCCTCAAAAAAAAATATTTTTATCCTGATTTACATAAACATAACATAACCTATAATCAGTTCTGTATCCCCTAAGGGGTAGGCCACATTGACACCCACATTTCGCCTGATAAGTCCCTATGTAACAGGGGGTAAGCCTGTTACCATACACAGAGCACACAGTTGTTAGGCAAGTGATGCTCATAATTATTATTATTATTCTCGTTATTTAATTTAAATCTACATTATACAATAATTCAAATTATAATAAAATTTATAAAAAGTATATTTTTTTGGTTTGCTAGATATTTTTTAAAACTATATTGTCTACTTAAATATATAATCTAACTATCAAAAAGTTACGCACCCCTGCTATTCCTAATAACCTTGCATTGGTTTTGTTTACATTTGGTATCGCTTCTCGTTGGCCGAGGTATAGAAGTTTGTGGCAACTACACAACAGAAACGACCAAGGTATTGACATTTTTGTCAATTCCTTTATCTCGATACCTCCCACGTAGGTTGTTGTATGCCACAAAAATGTCGTTTGGCGTTTACACTGAAAACTATCCTTATTTACATTATTTAATGCATTCGAAGTAGAAAAATTGCGTAAACACAATTTTTTCAAGGATTTGCTAGACGTAAATTGTTGTAACTTTAGACCGAGAACAGATTAAAACATTGTATAGATCGTTGCAATGGTTTACGCTGAATGCGGGGCGGTGGGAATCACACGTTCGCGTCTCGTATTGGTCACACATACAACAAACCACGTCGGACTCTCATCCGGTCGCGCTTATGTAGGAAGCATTTAAGTTCTCTAAAAATAAACTTACGTAATTAGCAGTAATTCAAATAAATAATTATGGAACTCTCTGTAATAATAAGTAGAGGGCGTAGACTTTGTGATTTGGTCAATAATTGGATTACACAAAATAGTAAATCCGAAACACCAATTGAAAATTACAATGTTTCTTTAGATCAAATAGAACTAAACAGTTTTCATGATTTAAACCTTCAACATATCACAAGTGTGTTTCTTTTTGTATTATTTTATTGGCATTAATTTGGTTTGTTAATTTTTTTCTGGTGATATTCACCTAAAATGTTGTATGTATGTACTTACAATAGTTTAGTTGTTGAGCTTTCATTAAAAATGTTGTATGGGATACATTCAACCTATTACGTTTACATTAAAATAAAAATTTTGTTGGATGTAATAAATACAACACTTTACTTCGGGAGTTGTTATTCAAAACTTTGTTGTATGATTACATGCCATACTTTACGTAGCTATTACTTTTTTTTACTTAAAATTAATGTTGTATGTCTAAAGTCTATTCTAAAATTGGGTCTTCATTAACAATAAGTTGTATTAATTCTAAACTAAATGAGTTGTTGAATATAATAAATGGAGACATCTCTAACAATAACTTAGAGGTAGCAACAGATTCTGGTACTGTAAATCTTGAGACACTACACCCTTCCCCTACTTGTAGTATCAATCACTTGGACGACGATTGCGATAATGATTTCTGCCCAAATTATAATATGCAAAAGGAAAAGGGGAATACCCAATTCTGGCCATGAAACGCCCAACAATTTGCATTTGTTAAAAAAATACATCTTTTTTTATGGTAATTAATCGCAGTATTTATGTATCCAAAAAAGATTGCAATATTTTTCCACAAAAAAAAAGTACCGAAAAGATAAAAATGAAATTAGGTAAATCCGCAAGTCATTAGTTTGTGGGTAAAATAAAAAGTGTTGCCAATCACAAATCTCGTAAAAAAAAGTCGATTTTGTTTTTTCAATCGATTTTTATGTTGTCATTATTATAATGGTAATATTATTTTCGATAATTATTATGATGTTATGATAATTAAACAAGCGAATTGCTAGTTGATTTGCCATGAACTCTTTAAAAATAACAAAAACGCTACTGCACAATTTAACTGTTATTTTTATCTGTTCTTAAAAATACATTTAAAATGGAATTTAAATAAATAAAACAAAACATATTTTAAAAGGCGTGCAGAACTTAATGCGAATCAAAGATTATTCTTTTAATGAAATTATAAATCGAATAAAAAAATCGCTATCTATTTATCGATTTTATGTCTGATAATTGGCAACATCGAATCTGATAGCTAGGCCCATGTCATAATTATCAAAACTAAATAGTCACAAGTCAAATGACTTTGCATTTGTGTTATTTTGTTTGTTTTCTCGCGGATTTGTTGTCTAAGCAACGAATAAGCTTTCTAAATGGACTCCGATAATTCTTCTCGCCATATTGACCACGGCCTGAAAATGAATCCCGCTCCCACTTCTTACGATAACCTCTGCACGAAATTGGCACTCAAGCTTCCTAGCACTCAGTAACTCTCTCAAGAGGACATTAACGCTGTGTCAATTGTGGTTTAAATGTCACGAAAATACGAAGTCATTTGTTATTAAAAACTGTTTTTGTGAAAATAAAAAATCTTTATATCTTAAAAATACGGACTTTTTTTAAACCAATTCCTTAACCATTTCATTCTTTTACTTGTATATTATCATTTCCACATGCTTTTATATGTGGGCACCTATGGCCGAAGTGTCTATGAACGGTGGGCATTCCCCTTTATGAGCGTTCTATATTTCACCTCAACCCTCACTAGCATGTCTGTCTAGCTGCTTGCCGTATCCAACAATGAACAATAGTCCACTATCTGATATTTCAAATAATAGTCCCAGCACAAGCGGTCGCCGTCGATAATCAAGGAAAGATAAAAGGAATATTAGAAAAAGACGTTTTAATGGATGGATAGATAATAAATAAGAAAAATTGTTTACGTAATTTGGGAAATCAATATATATCGAGAAAAGATAAAACAGAAGCAAGTAAAAAAAATTGGGCCCACCATGCTGCTGCCGCAAGAAGTGTTTTAGTAAATTAAGTGAAGAAGAAAGAAAGAAGGTTTTAGCCAAGCTCTGGAATTGTTTAGCGTGGTTAGATGGGCGAAACAGGATGAAAAACCATATAACGTCATAGGAATGAAACATACCTGTAGCGGACAGCGAGGAGGCCGCCGCCACGTCGCCCCTTCACACCCCGGTGCGCCCTGCGCACCCCGCACACCGGCAGCAGATCACGCGATGTCGCCGACCAATGAGCGCGCGGCATCGCGGACGACGCTACGCACGAACCGAGACGCTCTCTGGCGACATATAAGAAGGGCGTCTCGGTCGGTGAGCTGTTCATTTCGGAAGCGGCACTCGAAGAGAAGAAACAGCAAGAGAAATCAAGAAGAATCAAGACTCCATAGAAATTAAGAAGACTCCCCTCTGTACAGTGTAGTTAATAGTGCCATATTGTAAATAGTTTAAATACAGTATAGTTCGACAGTACCATCTTTTCTTTAAGCAGTTGTCCCTAGCGTAATCAATAATACAGTCCACTGCGATCCATAACAATACCAATTTTTTTAATTATAAATAACTTTTGAACGGGTGTAATTGGTCAAAAAATATAATTAATTAATTTTGTTCCAAACAGACGTAGTTAAACTACGTCTGTTTGTAACAAAATATATGAAGTGTGGGTATGTGCAGAAGACCCTTTTAAAATTGACTATCGGTACAATTGATTATTCAGTGACGATTGCCATTAAACACATACCCGACGACGCTAAAGAAGTAGTGTGACTGAGCTATGTCCTCTCTATTCCAACCATTTTCCCCTAAAAAAAGCAAAATATGATAATTTAATGAGTCTCTGTCACAGTGGAATTATTCCAGCTACATATCAAGACTTTTTGAGGAGTCTATCTTTTACTCCAGTAATGATGTAAATTTTTCTAATTCAGAGTAATACACAGTTAGTCTTTTCTGTTTTAACATATTTAAATTTATTTTAACTATGCACCTTTGTTTTTATAATTGATTCTCATAAAAACAATATTAGTTTTTACTGATTTGAAGCTAAATCAAAACTTAGGTTTCTTTAATTGAAATTAACTCAATTACTTAATGTTTCAATAATAATTTTGAAAATTGTTTTGTTTTAAACTTCAAATAAAATGAAGGATAGTTACAATGCCAATAATCATAAATACTTACTGATTTCTAGTTATCTTGATTTTAATTTTATCTCATAGAAATTATCAAAGTATAAGTAATATTTTATAATTAAAATTCCATAATGTTGATTTTTTACGGTTATATTTTAATAAGTTCTTAAGAAGAATTTGTTAAATTACTAAAATATAGCTAAATTAAGTTAGTAAGCTATGTTTTGATTTTTTTTAGATAAAAATTTAAGTATATACAAAAGCCTTTTTTTATCTTTCTAAGTAAACTTACTATGATTGTTTTGTTTACATTTTATTTTCTAGTAATGGAAGACGTAATCTATTTCTGTAAGTGTAACTAATGTTTGTTTTTAATTTTTTTAATGTTTTCTAAGATTTTAGTGCAAAATATATGAATTTAAATACTTTTATTGCAATGTTCATAAAAATTATCATAAATATATCTAGAAGAGTCGGTCCTATTAAAAAATTAAAGAAATTCATACTTGATAATATTTTATTTTATTTCTGAACCTTGTATTTGTACACACACAATAATACACACTTGATTTTTAATCGATATACATAGTTATAACCACATACAGTGGAGTTAGACTTATATTTTTCAGTGAATATTGTTGTAACTATCATATACAAAAACTCCGCGGTAAAAAGTTGTATGAACGATATCTCAGAAAATATACATATTTTTTAAAATTATCTTTCAGTATTGTCTAAAATACTAAAAATTACATACACATACTAAATTTCACAAAGATAAAATAATAAATGCAGTTTTTAGTCCAATTTAAATCTTTAACCGATTCGTTGCGGCACCAATTTTCGACAACTTTTAGCTGTGGCGGCGAACTAATATTTCATGACACGCCGGGCGTGTCAAGCGCCACAGACATAAATTTTTTTTTTTTTTATAGAAATAGGGTGACAAACGAGCACACAGTCCACCTGATGGTAAGTGGTTGCTGTGGCCCATAGACATCTACATTTATCAAAATGCAGATGCGTTGTCAGCCTTGAGGACTAAGATGAAATGCCTCTTTTCCAGTAAAAAGGGTCTCCGGTTCTCTACACTCACCATACGAAACACAGCAGCATTAAGCTGCTATTTTACGCTGGTATTCTGTGAGAGCGTGGTCCTTCCCCGGTCGAGCCGACCCATTCGTGCTATAACTACACTACTAATATAGCTGCAGCATGGCTCTACCACGTAAAACAAATAAACCTTATACCATAGCACATGGTACTTCGTAGGTCTATTCGGCCATATGATAGTAATAAGACGGCAGTTCAACCATTTTAAGCAAAATTAAACAATAAGACAAACACATTGCTTTTTTTAATAGGAGACTTGTTTTCCAGAAATTTATTTACAACTTGAGTTTGTGAGAGATCGCAGTGAGTGCTATTATTTGTTACTTATTAGACAATTTTTCCATAACATGATTTAAACCACATTTAACCCACAAAGTAAAAATAGTACCATGTACACGTTAAAAAAAGGTTGTCAACCCCTAATAATTTCAATTTTTCAAAATATCCAGAAACGAAGCTGCATGCATAAACTACTCGCAAAATAATGAATATTTTGTTTTGGATAAATTTTCCAAAAAAGCAATTTGAGCGAGTTATAACGATTTTTAAAAAGACACGACCCGCGTGTCATACGCCATACACAAAAGTAATCGATGGCACGCCTGGCGTGTCACCCGCACTGAACCGGTTTTGAACATTATTCTTTAATGTGGGTCATAATATAATTATTTTTAGGCAATTAATAAGATTTCGATGCGGTTCATCATCATCGTCATTATTATAATTACATCCTTCACAAATCCACTCAATACGCCGTAGTGGCAATTGGCCGGCCCTACGATACGAAGAACCGACAACCGATGGGCAAAAAAAGGTTCTCGAGTGGCAGCCTCGTACCGGTAGATGAAGTGTAGAGCGTCCCTCCCCTCCCCCTAGATGGTGTGACGATCTGGTAAGAGAAGCAGGAATCTATGGATGCTATATGGCATTGTTTAGGGGAGGTCTATGTTCAGCAGTGGACTTGTGATGCTGTTAATGTTCATCAGTTAATTTTTAACCCTCTGCCTATTCTTCTAATTCATTACTCCTAATAAGTTTAATAACAAATTTTATTTTTAATAACTTTTTTATTAAAATATAAACACTTGCAAAATCCTTCTGTCATTTTGAATCTGAAATTTTAATTCTATTGAAAGCCGAAAAGTAAAGCTCTCCTTTACTTTTCGGCTTTCAATAGAATTAAAATTATTTTGTATTTTCCCCATTGAGCTATTATGTACTATACATATTACTTCAATGATTTTCCCACAAATAGTTATAACTTAATAGAAAAATATTAAAAGAAAATAATTAGGAATAATATACAGATAACAGTGACTTATGTTAATCCTTTATTATAAATTTAGAAATCCTTTATATTATATCATATGCAAATTTAAAAAAAAAAAGTTAAAATAAAAATGCTATGTCAAAAAGTGTAATTATTTTACAACTATATGTGCCAGCCAGTAGCACAGCTTGGTATTAGCACTCTCCAATAAGTTAATTTATGTAAGTCCATTAAAGTAATTATTTATTTATTTGTACATAATTTTATTAAGCTTAAATATAATGTATTGATGTATGTTATCTATTTGGTTAGTAGTTAGTTAGTATTGCCTGGTTAGTCTTTTATAATAATTACATTAATAAATTCATAATATGTAGTAAGTTTCCTAACTGTTATATAACTTGTCTAATTGCATTTGTAGATTGTGTGACGTAACAGCTGGCGTGTTTGGTGCTTCCAATTTATTGTGCTTCACAAGTGGTGTGTTCAAAAAGTTCATCTGTTCTTTCATTTTCATATAAATACTTAGAGCTCTGTTGTTTGTATCTTTGTGTGGTGTGTGCAAACCATTAGAAACATTAGGCATTGATTTATGAATAATTTTATTCCGCAAGCACAAATTCTTTTTTGGTATCTTATATGAGGGAGATTTTGAACATGATTTGATAACCGAACAAGGTCTACTACTGCATGAACTGTTCTCCAGTACTGTTATTTCTTGCTTTATCTCTTTAGACGTTTGATCACACGTAATTTCAGTTTCGTTTTCAGATGCCATTCTACGCTTTTCATGAATTAATTTCCTTATATACTGCAGTGAATTCATTTGCGACTCTTTTATTTTTTTTAATGTTGTAATACCATGTCTAATCATTTCAATATTGCGTTCAGTTTGTTTCTCAACTTCTAGTAAATCGTCAAGTTCTGAACTCTTTTTATCGCAATTATTCACTGCTGCCTTATTAAGCAATTCACATAAAGAAACAATTACACTTGCATCTCTTGCACTGTTTTCCTTGCAAACACTTATTTTATCAAAAGACATTATAGTGTCATCATTGTAAAGAGCAGAATTCTGTGAATCATTAGTGTTATTAAAGAACTCCCGAACATTCCTGTACTCTTTGAAAGGGGTAGATACGGGTGGTGTTACTTCTGCTATATTTTCTAACGTTTTTTCTTCTTCTAAGGCCTTGGTTTTATCTTCAATATCTTGAAGTGCTTTCTCAGTTTGCAGAAAACTTGCATCACAACTAGATTTCCAAGATATATTAGACAATGGTGTGTCAGGTACATCTGCTAAAGTAATTTTCGAAAGTGGTGGTTTAAATTTAGGGGTTGTGTGACTTTTAGTGTTAATATTAGCCTGACTTGGATAGTTCTCTTTATTGGCAAGAGTCATTCTATTTTTATATGATGGATTGTTTTTGATTGCTGGAGTCTCAGCTATATCAGAAACGCCACTTATGCGAACACTACTTTTTCCTGAAAATTAGAAAATAACTACTAAAAAAACATATTATATAGTGAGAAAGACAAGGTAGTTAGTAGCATATAAAATTTAAAATTCTATAATCATTTCGTCCATGGATTGTCAAAAATGTTAAAACATAAAGTTGATCAATTTAGAATCAATGCTAAAATAGTTGTATTAAATAGCAGCGAAATTAGCAATATAAGTGACAGCAGGGCTCGGATAACGGTATATTTTTACGAAACGTTTTTTTATGTTCGTTTTTATTTGTTTCGTTTATGTTCGAACGGAATCATAATAAAAACGTTTATGAAGAGAACGAAATTTTAAATCGTTCTTGTTCAATAAAACGTTTTTAACCATTTTAAACCGTTTTTTCCCATTTTTGGCCCTGCAAGCTTCCTGCGGAATAAACCGTTTTTTTTACGTTTTCACATTACGTTCTCATTTCGTTTTTGTTCCGAACAAAATGTTATACAAGGAACCGTCGCAAACGTTTTAAAAACGTTATTTTTAATAACGTTTCCGAGTCCTGAGTGACAGGCTGCTTACTAAGCATAGTAATAAAAGCGAATCCTCTCTGTTCTTACGAGGTATTAGATAAATATTAAATAAAAAGATATTTTCCCTGTCAAAACATACTGTGATTAAATACATTATTCACGGTAGTAGATTTTATAAGCAAAATCTACTTATTCTAGTGTTTGCTATCATAATAGCACAACCTAACTGTTCATCTTTGTGTGTGGCAAGAAATAACCTGTCACCCCATCTCGCCTCTTAAGTGGCGTACGAGGTAACTGTGGGAAAGGTAAAAACTACACAGAGCGTTAAAGGTGCGAGATATCTGGTAATGCGACCGGAAATCCGTCTGCCAAATGTGGCGATTAAGGTGAATCTTTCCTACAATGAGTATGGCACATTAGATTTTAGGGGATTGTTAAGAGGTTGAGAAGTAATAAGATATGTAAAAATATGTGATAAGAAATAACACAGTTAAAAGAAACTAACAGTTGTGAAACGCCTCTGATGTCAGGTGATGCCGCCGCCCGCGTAGGCATGTACTATTTATGCTGTCGTCGCAAATATGCTAGGGGTTGTCGCAAAAATGGGAATAAAATAATTTTTGGTATTATACGAGGGTGGATTGAAAAGTACTCGGCCTAACCAAGAAAATAAACAAATACTAAATCAGTTATATTTTTATTTTTCTACATAATCACCATCAAGTTCAATACACTTTTGCCACCTCCCCTTCCAAGCATTTAGACCGTTGAAAAAAAATGATTCTTCCTTAGAGTCAAAATATGCGTCTACAGCTGCTTTGACCTCGTCGTTTGTCGAAAATCTTTGACCTCCCAAGTGCTTTTTTAGGTTAGGGAACAGAAAGAAGTCTGATGGTGCCAGATCAGGTGAATACGGCGGATGCGGTAACAGTTCAAAGCCACAGTTGTGAATTTCAGCCATTGACTGTACTGACGTGTGAACACGGGCGTTATCTTGATGAAACAGGACTTTTCTTCTGAGCATTCCTCGACGTTTTTCTTTTATTTCCTCTCGTAAACGACGTAGTAAGGTGCAGTAGTAATCAGAGTTTATATTCTGACCCCTTTCAAGATAATCAATCATAATCACACCTTTCGAGTCCCAGAATACTGAAGCCATCACCTTATTTGCCGACAAAATCGACTTAGCCTTTTTAGGGGGTGGTGAACCAGGTCTTCTCCACTGTTTTGATTGTTGTTTTGTTTCCGGTGTACAGTAATGAACCCATGTTTCGTCCATAGTAACAAAACGATTCAAAAAATCATCTGCATCGGCTTCAAATAACTCCAAACAGTCGCGTGAAATAGTCAATCGCGTCCTTTTTTGTTCAACTGAAAGCAGTCGCAGAACCCACCTCGCAGACACCTTGTGGAAACCCAACTCGTTGACAATGATGTTTTGACTTCGTTCATAAGAGATGCCTATAATCTCGGCTATCTCTCTAATTTTTAATCTGCGGTCTCCCATTATTAAATCAAGTACTTTTTTAATATTTTCGTCAGTAGTTGACGTCGAAGGCCTTCCAGAGCGGGGTTCATCTTTCACACTCTCTCTACCACGCTTAAATTCTGCTATCCATTTTTTGACGGATGAATATGACAGAGCACAATCGCCTAATGTACTGACCATGTCATCATGGATGGCTTTTGATGATAGCCCCTTCTTATGGAGGTACTTAATGACGGCACGCTGCTCGATTTGCTCCATTCGCGGAAATTATGTCCGATTACTTTGTTAATAAATTTATAAAATCACAACTAATTATCGCACACGTTTCGAACTTCACACAATGAACTAGTCTGAACTGAACTAAATAATGTGGGTAGATTTGATTTTTAGAATTGAATGGTTCTGTGTTAGGCCGAGTACTTTTCAATCCACCCTCGTAAATTTTTACTTAGGTAAAATAATAAAATGGAATTTTTGTATTTTCTGCTTTGTAACTATCAGTCACTTTGAAGGAAAGGTGGTGTGATAAAATAATACCTGTTCTTATATTCTTAATTATTCTTATACACTACTTATGTCTATATTATATATATAAACTATATTCTAGCATAATATATCAGGTTTTTTGTATATATTTGTCTTAGGTATATGATATTTATTTTAAATTACTATGTCTGATGATGAAGTTTTTGTGTATAATAATATGTGATACTTGTTTTGCCTACAGATTTGCTTGCGAGGAATTAACACGCCCTCCTTAAGCATGGAAAATTGGAATACCAAGAGACTATTTTTGAAGTGAGTCTTTAGAATCCTTGTAATTTGAAACTCGATAAAACGAAAAAGCGCTATGGGATTTAAGCGAAGTATCACACAGTAGCCTAATGGCAGGGTGCATACCGCGAACTCAAAAGCTTTTGGGTTCGAATCCGTCATTTGACCACTGTCGTGAATTACTCCTAACACAATCATCAATGAAACATAAAAAATCGGAATGTGTAATTTATACTTTAATAATCATGGGTTAAACAAATTATGACCCATATCACACTTGATGGCAATACTTTCTATGACCAAGTGCCTTACTATGGAACTCGTACAGTTGTACAATACTCCGTGGGTTGATGTTTATTTTAATGTACTTTGTTGTTACGCTACTGGTTGAAATATCCTATTCCTGGCTCCACATTCGTCTCATTCTCTCGAGTAGTTGTGTAGTAGTTTTCTGAAGTTTTCACTTCTAGCGCGTGTGAATTGTCTACACATATTTATTTTTTCATAAATTTACATAACACTATAAGTAAGATCAAATAAGCAGGTGGCTCAAGACTGCTTTCTAAGATAGGCCTAAAAAGAAGATATATGATTAATGTCATACCTTGAAGATTAAGCGTTTGCTTTACTTTTTGCTCAGGTTTATGAAATTTTGGAGTCTCAAAATTTGTAGTAGTATTAACACGGGTCTGGAAAAAAAGTTGTAACATGAATACTAGATGTAAAGAAAAATTTTGATGGCTCCGAGGCGCATTGGCTTAGCATTGAGTTGTGACGTCAAAGGGCTGTGGGTTCGAATCCAGCAGAAAACAAGCACTTGTATGGCCTATAAATAATATGACACAGGACAAAAAACTAGTGCTTAACATTTACAAAAAAAGTCATATTATATTTTTATCTGACCATGATACATTATTGATGACCTAGGGCTGCATTGAGTTATCTAACTTCCTACAAGTGTAAATTTCTGCTTTCATTAAGACTTCCTTCAAAATGTTACGAGATATTTTAATGTGTGTGACTTCTAACTTTCTGTTAGTGTTCAAGGCTTAAGGTTCTGTTTTGTTCAGTTTAAGTCTCTGAGACTTGAAATATTTTAGGTGTTTCCTTTTCATTTTGTATAAATAATACCGATTGCGTGACGAGCTGTGCCCGGCATTTGTTACACACCAACTCTCCACAGTTTCATTGTAATAAAATGAATGGTATAGGACAGGGATGGCGAACCAATGGCACGCTACCGATCACAAAGTTCACTATGAAGTATTATATTACGAACGAACGCGAGTGATTCTACGCTGCTGAGTGTTCGGGCATGGCGCGGCGGAAATCACGAAGTAAAAAAATATTTTCCGGGACGTCTATGGCCTCATTAAATATATCTTTAGAAAAATGGCACGTTGATACATAAAGGTTCACCACCCCTGGTATAGGAACATGAACAACAAAGGAAACAAACAAATATACGTATTTTTTTTGTCAGAAGCCTTTACAAGTGACTGAATGGTATAGAAATGCATATGGGAAAACAAATAAACATAATTTTAAATCCTATATAAATTTAAAGATGTGCTATAAAAGTAACAAAAGGGGAGATACATGCAGAGGTTGTAGATAATAATTTGAATTGAAAATTTAAAAAACTCCCCGAAACAATAAGAGCTCATAATCTTGAAACAGCTGAACCAATTTTGATAAACCATGTCTAAAAACGAACCTAGCACAGGTTCGTTTTTACAGAAAACCTGCTTTTAAATAAATAAAAAACTGCACCCAAATTGGTTCACCCATTTAAGAACTACGGTGCCACACACACACACACACACGCGCACGCACACACGCACACGCACACACACACACACACACACACACACACACACACACACACACACACACACACACTTGTAAAATCTTAAATTTACAAGAGGAAATTCTAATTAAATAAATGTGGGTGATTTTCACACCAAAAACCAATCATAAGTTTTGCTCAAACATTGGCCTAAGCTGGTGGTATTCAAGACTTGAATCCTTGCCTGTTAGTAAAAAATCGTTTACTGTATGGCTAAGTTAGGCACTCTAACCAAGCCATACAGTAAACAATTTTTTAATCAAAATAACCTCAAAGGAACCTCACAGGAATCTCTAGTGTGTACTTTTTTACTTAAACAAAATTTCTAAGCCACTCCTGAATGTGAGTTCAGAACTAATACCATCACACTATTAATGTTGCTCTGAATTATAAATCTATTAAAATGTGTGTTTAGCATTTTAAAATATATAGCACAATTTATCAATCACCAGAGCTTCATTCGTTAATTAGCAGGGTTTACAATATGCAAGTGAGATTAACATCTTTTTAAAATTTTCTTACACCTCACAGTAGTCACAGTTTTTAACTCCTGATGTAAACAGAGCTTGCAGCATCATAGCTTCTGAACGGATGAACCACGGAGCAAATACAAATAGGAGACGGCCTAAGCAACTGTGCACTCTAAGTAGGTCCTGATGTCATCACAGTGGGCGTGGCTTTAGTTAGTATACTGTCAGCGTTTGTCCTGTGCGCTTGTGTGTCGAAAATCGCAAATTGGTTTATTTTCGTAGTATTAAGAAGAAAAGAATGTTGAGTTTTTTTCGTGTAAAAACTACTCAGATAGACGCTCTGATGCTATGAATGGCATCATATTTCATTTGAAAGTAATTTTATACCTAATTTATTTAAATAGTTCTAGAAAAATCCCTGCATCGGCTTTTAAATATAATTAAATATATTCAACACTAAATGGCGACACATTGTGTCATGGGAACTAAAAATTAAAGGTCAGTATTGGTAAAATAATCATACAACGGTGCTGAAATTTGTTTTGCATTCAGTCCTAAAGAATTATCAATCGCCAAAATATTATTTTTATAGTTTTTATAACCATTTTATGAACAGGCCGCCATCTATTGTCAAGGTAGCTAAACTACATTGCAACATCGATAAGTTGTATAGATGCGAGTAGTTTTACTATTTATCAGTTGATGGAAAATAGTTAAGTGGGCGTAACTTAAGACCCCCTCACTCTGCAAATTATCATGCTTTGCTACATAGTGAAATATAATTACAAATCTCTTCTTTGTATTTACTCCATGGGATAAACCGATTTTGATTAAGTTCTTTTCATTTAAAAGGTGTCTTAATCGAGATTGTTCTTAGCTATGTTTCAAGAAAATCTGTTTAACCATTTAAAGATCATCAGCTCTTTTCATTTCGGGTTTTTTTGTAAACTATTAGTTATAAAAAGTAACCGATATAGCCCAACGGATTAGTAAGCTGAAGTGGCAATGATCCGGCCATATAGCTTGAAGAACCGACAACCGATGGGGAAGAAAGGTTTTTGAGTGGCAGCCTCATACAGGCAGGCGAAGTGTAGGGCATCCCTGACTAGATGAAGTGAAGACCTGGTAAGACATGCAGGAAGTCAATGGATGCAGGTAGGTCGGGACCATGCTTTGTGGCACTCCTTGGGGGAGGCCTATGTTTAGCAGTGGACTTGTGATAAGGCTGTAATGATGATGATGAGTTATAAAATATGAGTAGTGATCAACTACATTTATAACTGAATAATAGGTTTACTTCTTACTTTGAGCTTTGGCGAATAGTTAAGCATTTTTCTAACGTGGTTGTGCTTCAATTGTCCATTTGCTGTGTGGCTGATAGTTTTGTCTACTTTCACAGATGAATTCCAGTTCTTTTTCTTAACTGAGTTATTTGGTTGATGATGTCTTTGAGGACCTTTTAATGCTGTAATATTAAAATTTTGCTGTTGATTAGGATATTGATATTTTTTGAATGATATTAGTATTATGTAGGTAATAGCCATGTAGTAAGAGCAGCCACTATCCCATATCTTTTCTACCGACTTCAAAAAGGAGACGGTACTCAATTTGACTGTATGTTTTTTTTATGTGTGTTACCTCATTACTTTTTACTGGGTGGATCGATTTCGATGATTCTTTTTTTATTTCAAAGCTGGTGCTTCACTTGTGGTCCCATATAAATTTGATCAAGGTCTGAACAATAGTTTTTGAGTTATTCTTAATAATGTATATTGAAGTCGATTGTACAAAATTTTTAATTTTTAATTATTTAATCTTTCTTATTTTTAAAATTATGTTGGTCCCACACCGGGATTAGCTCTTGTACTGTAGAGGCAGTTAACAAACATAAATTGCACAAAAAAAAACATCCATATTGGGAATAATTATTTGCAGGCCATATAAATACTTGTTCTATGTGGGATTCGAACTCGCGACCCCCAGGCGCTGCAACTCATTGCTAAGCCATAGAGCCGTATGATCTTGTAGGTGTGGTAAAAGGCAACAGAGGGATATTAAATAGGAGATTGGCAACAGCATCTTCCCGATTACAACTCAAAATAACAAAAATTAAAGTAAAGCCTATATACCTCCCATTGCTGGGAACAGGCCTCCACTAATTTTTGAAAGGGTTTTAGAGCAAGGAAATTCCGCCACGCTGCCCCAATTATTATTTGGTGAACTTCACATGTCTTCAAAATATTTATTTTCTTTTTTCCTCACGATGTTTACCTTCACTGCCGAGCATGTGATAAATCAGCACTTAAAATTGCAATTAACAATTTTATTGGTGCCAGCGGAGATCGAACCTGGGTAGCTCGAGTACTGTGATACTTACAGCGAGCGCCAACCATCTGAGCTAACACGGCTCTAAAATAAGCAAACTGAAGTACTAACTTTAAATAAAAATAAAATTCTTAAACTTCAATAGGCATTCCAGAAATTTTAGATATTGAATAATTATGAAATAGGTAGCTCACAAACAAGTAAAGGAAAGGGACTATTTCATTTAAAAAAAAAGGCTATCATTCATTTCGTTCCAATTCAAATGTATCTACTTAAATTAATTAATTTTCATTTTTAGTTAGAAAAGAAATATATAGTCCAATTATCGTAACTGTAAGAAAACAGTGCAATCTGGTGGGTGCACATATATACTTTAATTTAAATATGATTGGAAATCATGAAAAATATAATTTTTAATTTAAATAGTTGTTTTCCTTGCTTGACAATTGTAAATCTATAAATTATGAAGGAAATTCTTGCTACAAAAAATTATTTACCAAGTTAGGCCTCACAAATTTAAGTGTTTATTCAAATTTACTGGACCTAATAAAGTTGAATTAAATGAGTGCATGAACTTCAATAAGTATAATCATATGCTTTATTCCTTTCTTTTTAATAATGCATTTTGAACATGTATTAGTTTATAGCACTGGAAGTGTTAAATAATATAAACTATTGTTTAAAGTTATATAAATCATTATTTATAGAGATTATTTAACCCTGATTATTCTTTATGTCTCTATATATAAAAATCAATTGCTGTCCGTTAGTCTTGCTAAAACTCTAAAATGGCTAAACCGATTTTGATGAAACTTTTTGTTTGAATGGGTACCTAAATGGATTATTTCTATTATTCTGATATTATTATTATTTACATTTGCACCCTGTAGGTGGAGCTGTTGTCGAGGGCCAGAAATAAAAGCTAGGACGGATTGCTAGTATGTAATATATAAATTAAGAATTAACAGTTACTATTTTGAATAAGACAATTTTACGGATTTTATCCCGTGCTTTAACAGCAACCATGGTCACAAGGGGGACAAAGATGTTTTAAGAAAATAAATGGAATAACATCTTAGTTATATTATAGAAGCACATCATCTACTCTAGTATTGCAGAATTGTAGTCAATGAATAAATTAAATAATTAATTAATAAATACCCATTAAATGCGTCTTCATTTCAGCGATTGTAAGTGGTTTATTAACTTTTTCAGAAGTGCGGGTGAGTGCCATTGTGTTACGAGGCTGTTTCTTGGCCGTGAGTGTTTGTATAGAATCCTTGGTTAAAATACCTAAATAAAACAATAGATGTTAATCAATAAGCATTGGTTTTATATTTTATTTCATATCTAAATTATTAACAAAACAATGCAAATTGTATTAAGAGTTCGGCAAGCAGTTAATTCATTTAATACATACTTCTTATGCCTGGGAGCAATTCAATCATTGGTTTTGGTTGAGTAAATGATTTCATTTTTGTTGCCGTCCCATCCATTATGTATATTTTAGGTCACTTCTGCAAGAAATAAATTTTAATTTTAATCAATATAAACAAAACATTCAAATCAAACATTTCCAGTTAACTGATAACTGTCAACAATGTCAAAACAGATTTTTTTTTAAAGATTTTTGATATGAATGCTTGTTATTTAAGCCATGTCGTCGTTTCATTTGGAATCTTCGTTTTTATAGATTTTCAGTATAAAGTGATAATAATCCCTTACAATACACTGCTTCACAATATGATGATGAGTCACCTTATCTTGAGATTCACATCACCATCGAAGTGCTTGTCTCACCGATTCTACTAATAGTTTACACGCGCAGACATTTGATACACTAAATCGCAGCACCTTTACATATCAAAATCCACTTAAAACGTTATTTAAACAATAATACAGAAGCAAAAACATTATATAATATAATAAATGCCTTTGCCTTAGATAAATTTATATTATTATTATATAATTAGAAAAAAAGGTTAAGGTTGATTAGGCGGGTCGGTTGGAATCCAAAGATGTACTCAACAATTTGCAACCATAGATTTAGTATATACTAAGATTGGCAATGTAAAAGAGAAAGGGCATAGCATATGCTTACGTTACTACGAGATAGAATGGCTAGACCATACACGTACACACTATCAGCCTGTATCAGCCGGACGTCAGTGGTGAACAAAACAAATCCCGCTTATTTTCGCGATATTTTTGATTTTAAAGTATTAATAAGTATTTAAAAGGTGTGATTAAGTATGGTGACGTGTGCCGTACCTGAATGCAGTTCATCCAGAAAAGTAAATCCACAAAATTATACATTTCACATGTAAGTACAATTAAAATGTTTAGCACTCTAACTTCACTATTTCACAACTATAACAAATGTTTTATACACAAATGGACAGAGAAAAATATCGCATTTTATTACGATAATAATCTAAATGCGTGAGAACTATATTAAAAATAATAACAAATACGTGAATTCCCGCTATTTCTGATCAAATTTTTGTAGGGATTGACACTATCAATATCGTCTTATCGATAATATGTTTATAACAGGCAAAGGCATATCCTTGGATACAGCCTTTTGTGACTTCGTATTTTTTTTTAATTTTTAGTTTTTCGTAAAAGTAAATATTTACACATTATAGTAATACTTTAATGAGATGATTTATATTGTTTCAGATTTCCAAAAAATAATGAGGTTAAACAAAAATGGTTAAAAATGTTAAATAGAGAAGGATGGGTTCCCAAAAAAAATTCAACTATATGTAGCAAGCACTTTGAACAAAAATGTTTTTCTCATAGAAGTGCACAAAGAGTAAAGCTGCGTTCTGGATCAATACCTACATTATTTATGCCCGTGCGTAGTTTTTTAATTACTTATATATTTTACTGTACATATCTTAATTTCGTTTGCGCATGTTTAAATGTGTACAACTTGTTGTTGTCATTCTCGTTATGTATATTTTTTTATAAAATGAAAGTAATAAAGAAACTTACAGTATCACTTGATGGTAAACGGCTACTGCAGTACATGGACACCTGCAGTCATCTTCAAATAAAGAAAGCTACAAATGTGTTTTTACCCCTGAGGACTAAGATAAAATGTCTTACAGCCGAAAATTATACAGGCTCTCTATACTCAACAGGCCGAAACGCAGCAGTGTAAGCACTGCTGTTTAGCGGTAGTATAAGCTCTGCTATTTAGCGACAGAAATAGGTAAAAGGATGGTACTTTATTTTATTAATTTTAATCATAGATAAGTACATAATGTATGCACTAATTTTATTTGTTTGTTTGTAGGTTGTATTGAAACCGATACGCAAAGCATCCTCATATATCTACAGAGATATATTACCAGTACCCAGTAGTTCAACTGCAAACATTTCTGCTATAGACAATTCCCCGAGAAAGATAAAAATGAAAAAGACTATTGATATTCTTCGGAGAAGATTAGATATAAAACAAAAAAAAACTGAAAAATGTAAGAGCACAAAAAAAACGGGCTGATGAAAAAGTGGGAAAGTTGTCTCAAGTGATAAAAAACTTAGAAAGGCTTCCCTCACTTCAAAATAACATTAGTGCTGTAATGGCATCTGGTCCAAATGATTTGTTGCAGCATCTCATCGAAAGAGTGATTAAGAAAAAACAAAATAAAAATATTAAACAAGAGTATGATACACAACTAAAGACATTTGCCCTAACTTTACACTTTTATAGTCCTCGGGCTTACAATTACATGAGAACTAAATTTGACCTGTGCCTACCACATCCTCGAACACTACGAGGCTGGTACCAAAATGTAGGCTGTAAGCCAGGTATCACTAAGGAAGCCATAGAAACCATAAAGGCTGTAAGTAAAGAAAAAAAAGATTTGGTCATCGCCCTTACGTTCGACGAAATGTCTATCCGTGAACACATTGAATTTGACGGTCGTAATCATCATGGCTATGTAGATGTGGGTAATGGTATTCATGGAGATCAAGTAGACAAGGCTAAAGAGGTATTAGTAATAATGGCAGTGGCAATTAATTCTTTTTGGAAAATTCCAATTGCTTATTTTTTTGGAAGAGGATTTACTGCTTTACAGAAAGCAACACTTCTAAAGCAGTGTATTGCTTCACTGTCAGATTTTGTAAAAGTTGCTTCTGTTACTTTTGATGGCATAGCATCTAATATAAATATGGCACAAATACTAGGAGCTAATTTGAGCACCGCTCCATTTAGACCATACTTTTACTATAGAGGGCAAAAATATTACGTAATATTAGATGCGTGTCATTTATTAAAGTTGATAAGAAATACTTTTGCAGAATACAAAAAATTTTATCATCATAATGATATTATTAAATATGAATTTGTTGAAAATCTCTGCCAGCTTCAACATGATGCCGGTTTGCATTTGGCAAATAAGGTAACTAAAAAACATGTCAATTTTGTAAATCACAAAATGAATGTACGATTAGCGGCGCAACTGTTGAGTAATTCTGTTGCAACCAGCTTAGAGTTTTGCAAAGAAGTATTAAAATTACCTATGTTTGAAAATTGCCAAGCGACAGCAGGTTTTATAAAACATATAAACAGCATATTTGACATTTTCAACTCCAGAAATTTACTCAGCTACGGATTTAAGAAGGCCTTAAATGCAAATAATGTTGAAAATGTTGTAGCTGAATGTGACAAAGTGTGTGAATTTATTAAAAATTTAAAATACAACAACCAAGCTTTGATAGAGAGTCGAAGAAAACTTGGTTTTATCGGTTTTTTGGCGAATACGATAGCTTTGAAGTGGCTATATGTCGATTTCATAGAGTCAGGAAAATTAAAGTTTCTTCCGACCTATAAACTCTCCCAAGATCATATAGAATTTTTTTTTAGTGCAGTACGTTCTAGAGGAGGATTTAACAACAATCCAACAGCCAGACAATTCACAGCAGCATACAAACGATTAATCTGCCACGTGGAAGTACAAATCAGCGATAAAGCCAATTGTTTGCCTTTGGAGAATATTAGTATGCTCAACATACAAAAATCGTGTACTATAGATATAATAAATACTACAACTGGCCTTAGTGCTATGACGTTGCCAAACGACGATGCGGCTATTGGCCCAGGCCAAATAGATAATGAAGATTCTGATTTCGTATCATTTATGCCATGGATACCTGAAGGCATGGAATCTGTAGTTAAGTCCATTGTTCAGTACATATGTGGTTACGTGGTAAAAAAAATCGCAAATAAAATTAAATGCGAATCCTGTGTAAATGTACTTTACGGTGAAGTTAAGGAAGGTTCACTAATAAACATGAAAGACGTAGGTGGCCTCGTGTATCCCTCTCAAGACGTTTATGAGATAGGTGTCTTTTCTGAACGAGTTTTCCGAAAACACGTGAAAGGAAAAATTGTAAACGAAAATATATTTAAAAAATTAGTAAACGAATGCCTTGTGTCCTGCAAACATTTTTTTAACACACTTGACATACATATGTACGATTCGCCAGCATTATCAAACCATAAACACTTAATTATTAAATCAATAATTGAAACTTATTTGGTTATCAGATTAAAGTATGAAGCAAAATTGCAAAATACCTCCAAGGAGAGCTTACGACATTTTTACAATAAGTTAGTTATTTTTGGTGGAAAATAAAAATCACAAACTTTTTGTTTGTAGTTTTATTTTTATGCCCTCAAACATAATATTCATTTTATGACACAGACACAGCTTTCTGTATCGATAATTAAAGTTGATACATGGCGCAGCACTACTGTTGTCGCACACATGCACATTTCACTCACACGGCTACATTTCGTTTTTGGTCTCACCCTAATCACGCCATTGCCAATCTAATGAATACTATATCTATGTTTGCAACAAACATTTTCTTGAATAGTATAAAAGAAAAAGTAGAATTAAAACAATTTTACTAAAAGGAGCCATTTTTAAATTATTTGTTCATTTGTAACAGTAAGTATAATATTATTATAGTAAGGCTACAAAAACTTTACTTAAAAACTTAAGATAAAAATAGGGATAGCTTTTTATTCATTATAAAGCTGTAAGACATTAAAGATAAAAAATCTTGAGGTTTATTATGATTGCACCCAACTAAGTATCTATTTATCAACCAAAGAAATGTAGAACCTTACCCGTCCGTTCTTATATTGTTGAAAAAAAAAATCACACAATCGACATTTAACAAATATGGTTTTATTAACTTTTTCAGTTTATCATTTTTGTCTATTTTTAACGATGGTGCAATTATCAAGCAAGGTGCAGTTTTTTTTATACTGTAAAAAGAACCCAAATCAAATTATTTGAAGTAATTGTCGACGTTCTAAGGTAAACGAATTTAACTATTTTTTATTTCTAAACTACATGGGTGCAGTTTAAATAATTAATATTTTTGAGACGTGCTATTTAAAATACGTCTGCCAGTATTTTTGTGTATATATACTCAAAATTGAGTATATATTTAAAAAAAGGCTGGGGGC